CATTGATTTTTTTTCTTTTGTTCCCTTTTCCTGGGGAGACATAAAAAATATTGCTAACAGCAATGTCAGACAGTTTACTGCCTATGTTTTCTTTGAGGAGCTTTTATAATTTCAGGCCTTACATTTAAGTCTTTAATCCATTTTGAGTTTATTCTTATATGTGCTGTAAGAAAGCAATCCAGTTTTAGTATTTAGCATATATCTGAACTAATTGTCTTTATATCTCCTTTCATGTTTTTTTTTTTTTTTTTTTTTGTCACCTTTCTTTGTATGATTTTCTGAGTTACTATAAGGCCATGTCTTGCATCTTATTTGGGATGTTGAAGTACTCTAGAAATTCACTGAATCCTTATAGTACATCATTTTCAAAATATGTTCTTTGCATCTGCACGATAATAGATTTACTCAATAATTACTTGAGCACTCAACATGACGCTCACAGTTGTGGTGATTGGTTTGGGACATATCAGAACAAGAGACAAACATCTTCTCATTAAATTTACATTTGGATGAGCAAAAGACAATAAGCAAAAAAGCTGAGTGCTGGGAATGTTAGGAGTGTTAAATGTTCTTGAAAAACAAATTGGTAAGGTAACTAGACGGTGTACCCAGGGGAGACTTCATTAAGGTGAAATTTGACTAGACCGGAAAAATGCACGGGAATTGTGCAGCTACGGTGAGAAAGAGCTTAGCAGACGGGGACCCATCAGGTTCAAGGCCCTTAAGGCAAGAGCATGCCTGGTGTCCTTGATGAACTGTGAGGAGAATAGAGAGGTGGCAGCACAGTGACTAAGGGACAGAACACAGACCAAGAGGTCACAAGGTTGGCCTGAGAACTTGCAGGCCAACAAAAGGGTTTTGCCTTTTACTCTAAAGATGAAAAGTCCCTGGAGAGTTTTGAGCAAAAGCATGATCTGATCACTAGGAAAAGAATAATTTCCACAATTCTGCCGTGGAGAGGGAGGAATGAATGGTAGATGCATTGAGACCAGTTAGAAACTATTCCAGGTGAGAGATGATGGTAGCTAAGGACCAGGTAGTCTCAGACCAGGAGGTAATGAGAACTGGTCAGTGACTCTGATAGATATTTGAAGGTAGAACCAGATGGATTTCCTGATGAACTGGAGGTAGGTTGTGAGACAGGTTAAGGAGTAGGTGTGACTCCATGGTTCCTGGCCTGAGCAATTGGAAGGAATCAGTTTCCATCAACTGAGATGGCACAGGATGCTTGTGGACCAGTTCTGGGGAAGCAGACTGGAATTTGCTTTTGGACATGCTAGATTTGGAATGGATAATGTCAAAGAGAATATTGGATATAAGTCCACGTTCACAAGTCAAGTGGAGTCAAACCAGGGATTTGTCAGCACTTAAATGCCATTTCAGAGAAGAGTAGGTCAGATTACCAAGAGAGAAGTATGTGGAGAGTGGACAGAGAGCTCATAAGGACATTCTCTCCTTGTGAGTGTGCTATTGGGGCCAATGTGCATCTTTTTAGACATCTTTGGATGAGATTTAGCGGTAAGGTGATTGGATGGTGTCCTCAGGGAGATTTCATTGAGAAGGCATGGCTCAATGGCTGAGCTTTGACCAAGGAACCAGGAGGGCACATACTCTGGTTGTGGGCTTGACCCCCAGTAGGGGGTATGCAGGAGGCAGCCAGTCAATGATTCTCTCATCACTGATGTTTCTACCTCTCTCTCCCTCGCCAAAATCAATAAAAAAATGTATTTAAGGAGGTTCATGTCTCCAAGGTTGCCACAATCAAGACTTAAAATGCCAGCCATTTTAAGAGCCTGGGGATTAATCAAGACTCAGAAAGATGAAATGATAAACTAAGCCAGGCCAGCACTAGTGCAAACTCTCACAAGGACATGTCTGCCACTAGGGTTCCTGGCAGGAATATATTTAAATGCAAAGAGAACTAACTAACTAACTAACTAACTATATATACACACACACACACACACACACACACACACACACACAATAGGGTCACATAAACAGTTCCTTTATTTTTTTATGGTTAAAATTAAAATTTTTTTTTTTTATATTTCTTTAAAAGTAGCATACTTTATTAAAAAAAAAACACACTGGGAATATGGATTTTTTGAGAAATAACCTTCATCTTCACTAATAGGTATGGAGGAACCAGAGTTTTACACCAATTAATGGAAAAGTAACCACTGATCAGTCTAGTTCCACACCCCCCCCCCCCCCCAAAAAAGGACGTACACACACGCTAGAAGTCTGCCCATTCAGTTAAAACATTTCCACTACTGAACTGTATGTGCTACAAAAACTGTAAGATGTTCCTTTTCCTGGGAGTCCTATTTGGTCAAAAGATCTCGTATTTATTACGTTATTTATATTAATTGGCATTTACAAAGAGTGGAGACACCAGCGACAACACTCCATAGTATGAATGATCTTTCTTTCTAACTGTCCTCAGTAAACTGTAAAATTTAGCAATTATATTTAGGTTTTCATAACTTGCAGGTGTCTGAGTATCTCTTAATCTACTTCCTCCCTTCAAAATTCGGTCCATTTTAAACAAAACATTTTTGCTTCTTAGTGCTAATCCTATAGAATTTTTTTTAAAGGGTTGTATGTTTCATACATTTTTTGAATTAAAATGGCCCCCCAAAATAAAACCTATACAGAATCACGCTCCCTTAAAAACAATTGCCTTTTCTATGAACCATATTTCAAATTGAGAGTGACATTTATATGTCAAATGTGCAGGGCACAAGTTTGTGTAGAACCTGCAACTTCATTATGAAGTTTTCTCAACACAACAGAGGATTCATTTTTACTCTATGCATTGGCATGTTTCCATAAACTTAACGTGTCTCATTGATTTGAAAACAGACTGAGAGTGATGGTGACCCTAAGCATTTGATCACCCAGTTCCTGACTTTATGCTCATTATTGTTGGCTGAATTAATAGTTGATTGTTCAACATGCATCTCCCAGGGGATGATCAGATGCTGCAAAAACAGCAAATTCTAGGCAGATGACTTTGCTTCCATGAGCACTTCTGGTACAAGGGTTAGAGGGGCTAACAGATGAGAGTAGTGAGAGTAAAATCAGGGCGTGAGTTCCCCGGGGATCTCATCTACTCTGTTAGGACTGGTCCCTCCTTACTGGAGGCTGACGAGGGAGACTAGACCATGACTTGTGATGGTGGCTGGTGGACACTTTCAAAAACTACAGCAATGTTCTCCAATACTTTTATTATCTCCAGTTTTATGGCACCATATTACTATTATTTTCACACCGTTTAAAATCCCCATTTCCATAATTCAAATACCAAGAAATTACTACACATTCCCGTATACAGTCAAAAATAGATTTACTGGAATGTTTTTAGATACAGCTGAAGGCAGCAGCATTTACAACACAGCTTTTGTTACACCAATAAACGTGGAAATTGCTTGCAAAGCAACTGTAATGTGAGAAGAATCTTACGTTGATGGAATACTGATGGAAAGGCAACATAGGCTTCCTGACCCCCCACCTTAATGCGAGAGTGCAAGTCCTTAAGCCACTGCAGAAACAGTCGGAAGTCTCGTATCAGTGTTGAACTACAGACACAAACAGTGAGTGGGCAAGTATCTTGTTTCAAATGAGATCCTTGGGATGCGGCAAAACAGGCTGGCTGCCTTGGCCTCGAACATAATTATTAAAAGCAGAAGGGGAAAAAGATAACGGACATTCTCAACGCTCCAGTTTGAAGTGATACTTGCCTCTCAGTTTCTTGGAAAAGAAGTTTTGAAAGTTATATACATGGGTTTCATTTAAATTATGCAGCAATCTATTATTATTATTATTGTCCCAGATTTTGTTTAATGAAGACCTCTCTCATCAAATCAAGTGCGGTATTTCACAACTGTAAGTACTGCAAGAGAAAAACACGAAAAAAGAACACGTCAAAATCACATCCACAAGCCATGTTAGAAACGACACTCTTAAATGCAGCCGTGTCCACTGGGAAGTAGGTAACGAGGACTAACTCTGGGCTGAAAGGACAGATAACAAATGAGAACGGAGAAGCTAAAATAATCACAAAACCGCCGAGACTGGTTTGGCTCAGTGGATAGAGCGTCGGCCTGCGAACTGAAAGGTCCAGGGTTCGATTCCGGTCAAGGGCATGTACCTTGGTTGCGGGCACATCCCCAGTAGGAGTTGTGCAGGAGGCAGCTGATCTATGACTCTCTCTCATTTATGTTTCTAACTCTCTATCCCTCTCTCTTCCTCTCTGTAAAAAAAATCAATAAAATATATTAAAAAATAAAATAATCACAAACCACCTGAATGTCTAGCATTGGCATTTTGATTAAACAGATTATGCTGAATCTTAGCATACAGCTGCTAAAATATTTTAAAAATAAATAACATGAGAAAACACTTATTAATAAGAAAAGTGTGTAATCTTAGTTTTTTTTTTATTAAAAACATGTTTATATGTTAGTAGGACAAGGCTTTGTGATATAAGTGATAGCTATGTTAACAGTAGCTATTACTAAGGGGAAAGATCACAGTTGAACTGTATTTTCTTTTTCACAATATTCCACATTTCCTAGTTTTCTGAGGACAAGCAGAAAGTTCTGAGATGCTCTGCATTATGTCTCAGCAGGACGGCAGGGACGGAGGGGATGGTTGGTCAGTGGGGAGCTGCGGGCGGTTCAGACCTCATACCCAGGGTCTTTTCCTGGCTATCACCTGCTTTAACAAAGTCTTCAGCCACGAAGTTTTTGTTTAACGTATCTTGTCAGTTGTGGAAATCAATCTTTCCAAGAAGCAGAAAAGGATGCGACTCTTCTGAGATGAGCGTGGAGCTCACAGTGAGGCCGACGTACACAGCTTTACTGGGCCTCAACAAAAATCTGTAAGAGGCCGTCTTAAATATGTACCACATGGAAGGGGTGAGTTACGAGGGGCACCCTCAAGTCAGTTTTATTATAATGATGATGTTATTCAACAATATGTCTTTGTTTTTCACTTTCACTTGGGGGTGGGTGGGTGTTAACTGGGCTTATAGTGACATCTTGTGGCCATTTGATGCAATTACAGCTTGAGTTCTAATGGACTGACCCCATTAGTTTATAGGTCTGAAATTATAAGATGGTGATTTTTCACTCCAAAAAAGAGAGACCATTGCTACTTCTGGCCCCTCAGGGGTGTTTCCAGGTGATGAGAAACATTTGCATAAGTGTCTACTTATTGTCTGAGAGATGTAGCTGTCTCACAGGGTCCCCAACAAGAAAACATACTCCCAGATTTAGGGTTAGAAGGAACATTTCCGGCTTGTCAGTATACACAAGGGCTTGGTCACCCAAGTATTCCAGCCTCCTGAATACTGTGTGTTGCCCAGGCTCCTCTGAGTCACATAAGAGAGGAGCCACCAACCTCGGAGCGGCACTCAAAATTAGCACATTTCAGACCCAAAGCAATTCCTTGGCCTTGGTTGATCAGGAACAAATTTTTTAAATTATGGGAAGTCAAAACCCCTAAACCTCCCCCAAATCCTGTGTAGAAACCTGGACCAGTGCTATAAGAAATATGGGGCTGAATCGTGCATGTTTTTATCTAAAATGGGCTCTGAAAAACTTCAAAGAAATTTCTCTTTACAAAAGAGGAAATTAAACTAACCAGGCCTATTTGCTATTACATGGAAGCAGAAAGCACTGTCAAAAAAACTACCTGTGGTATTTATGCATAGATTATTAAAATGAATGTTCTTTTTGAAATTATATATAAAATTGCCAAGTATCTACAATGTCCTGATATTATCATTTGCAATTCTAGTTATCGTAAACATGAGTTGCGGAGAAGAGCACATTTCTTTGTCAGTTGTGCTGTAATAAGACCGTTGGCCACGTCATGTCAGTCCGCCATTTACAATGGTAACATTGCTAGTGATACTGCTGCCTCCATGAAGCACAACCGACAGCCTGTCCCTCCAGGACAGGGGCCCTGTCTTCTGCTCCAGCCCTGCTGCCGGCTCAGACTTCAGGCCCAGGGCCCAGTCCTTTCCTGGCGAGCCCTTGGCTCCACAAACCCTTTCTTTGTTTGGCCGTGGCAGTTCCTGCTTATCATCACCACAGTGTATGGCTGCATCTTGGTACATGCAGTGTTATGTTCTATAAAGTCTCCACAAACACTGAATTAGTGAACACTAACCCACTGCTCCTACAGGAAATACAGGGTTAAATTCCTGCAGGCCCCTGGGCACAGTCTGTCACCGGTCAGTACATAGCCTTTTTATTGAAAGACACCCTGTGTAACATATGCTATTGAATTCATGGCTGAGAGCATGGGAACCGAGACCTAAGTGAAGCCTAGCAAACGGTCGATTTTCTCCTTCCAGCACATCCCAGCCTGGCTGCACTCAGCAATACGGACACTTTAGCACTGCACCCGGGCCACGTTAAATGGTGAGACCGCCAACGAAATGCACTACTGCGAGAAACATGGCGCTCACCGGAAGGACCTCGTTTACATGTGAGAGCAACACTGGAAGATGGCCTGGCCTGTCAGACATCAGCTGGGAACGTGCGCCTCAGGGACTCAGTTTTCACTGCTCTGAATGCAATGACCAAACGCAGCTCAAGTACTGAGGTGGGTAACAAATCACTGTTCCGCTAGCAGGTGAATTCACAAACTCAGAATCCACAAACCTAGAATGGGTGAGGATCGACTCAATTTCTTTGCAACAAAACTCTTTTCACTTTAAAAAGAGAATATTACCATGGAGTTTTTCAAATGATTATTTTGAGACACTTTCCAAATCTTAATAAAGTCCCTGTAAACACAGGGAAAGAGGCCTTGGAGAAAATGAGATATAAAAATGATCTTACTTTAAAAGAATATTAAGAATATTAATGACTGAAATCAAGCTCAAATCCAAAACAGAAACAAACAAAAAAAAATCATCTAAAGAGCTTATCTAGATTTGTCCTTCCAACAATACTAAGAGATGCAAGCTGCCATTCCTTCTGGTTGATAATAAGCAGATGAGAGCTGTGGCTGTGGTGTAATAGTAGCCATATTTGGCCTCAAACAAAGCACTTAGCCTTGCGTTTGCATACAATTTAGAAGCATTTTCAGAGATCACAGAGTTTAGGCTAAGAGCTCTTGACTGGGGTCAGAAATCATTACTCAATCCTGATAGTCAGACCACATCAACTGAAAACAAATTAAAAAGGGAATTAAAATGAACCCCAGAACAAATGATACTCCCCAAAATTAACAATCCAGGAAATACTTACTGATGATCACCAACAAAAGGATAATAGCAACCAACGCCATGATGGCTTTTATCTACAACACACAAAAAGGCATAAGAAAGATATTAATATTAATCCTGACTTTATTCGACTACCTGCTGTTATTTACCATATTATACCAACTCATCAGTGAAGAGGCTCATCCCCTAAAAAGCTTTTATAATAGAATTTTTCATATGAACTTGCTGTCTATTAGCATCTTTTCGTTAATAATCAAGGTCCCCCCAATTTAAGGGTTTTGCTTGCCCAGAATTTTCTGTTCAAGACTCACTGCCCAGTGGACAGTAATCAGTCTCCATGGACCTGGACTTCTTGCTCTCACTTTTAATAAGAGGCCAGGAAAAGCACGTCATTTTACCAACTCTGTTAAAAAGCTGAATCAGGACAAATAAATAGCACCGGCATCCAACACAAATGATCTCATACACACAGTACAAGGCAGCATGTTTGTAGCCTTGCTCAAAGGATATGAGAATTCTGTTTTGGCTCCCCTTACTTTCTTCTTGGTACTTTCATCTGTTTGAGGAAGGGAATTTAGATTCTCCATGAGTAACCTTATGTGACAAATAGTGTGGCTGAGAGCATTCTCTGTCAGTTTCACAGTTGTGGAGAAATCTTAAGGTTAGTCCTTAGTGAGCTGACTGAAATTTAAGTTCACAAAATTTTTCTCTATAATATTGTCATATTCCTCATTTAATCCTAAAATGCATAAATTATAAAACGATTTTTCTGATGAATTAAGATAAAAGGTTTTCACAGATGATCGATTAAAGATGGTTCAGGCCTGGTGGGCGTGGCTCGGTGGTTGAGCATTGACCCATGAACTGGGAGGTCACAGTGTGATTCCTGGTTGGGGCACATGCCAGGCTGCAGCTCAATCCCCAGTACTGGGTGTGCAGGAGGCAACATATCAATGATTCTCACTCATAATTGATATTTCTCTATCCCCCTCTTACTTTCTCTCTGAAATCAATCAAGCAAGCAATCATTCAATATTAAAAAAAAAGTAAATTCATTTCCAGCAAGTGTTTTGCAGAAATATATTGGTATATAACAATTCTTTTTTCCTTGTTATTTTTTCTTTTATTATTTCTCTGGAATAATAATAGAGGAATTTTTTTCTTAGCTATACTTGCCATATTCTGACATATAAACTGCTTTTATCCCTTTTTCAAGAAATATATTTTTCTTTAGCTTTCGTTCTACCTTATTAATATCTGAATTAATGCTATTGGCTGTTCCAAAACATACTCATAATAAATTCTGAGAGAAATTAATATTTATGTTTAGAGGTAGCACATTATTAATAAAATGTTAACTGTTTATGAAGAAATCCATGAAAACAACTTTTTAAGCATTGTTTGATTCCTTTAGTTATTTCTGTTCCCAAGCTATTATCATTCAGCATGTGTTAACTGAGTTTGGCCCAGGTTCAGAAGACACAATGGAAAGTGAGGCAGCCATAGTATCTGTCCTCACTGGGTTTATAATCCAGGGGCCCTTTCCTTCCTGACTGAACAGCACATAGGTGCGGACCAATCTTCCCACGAGCTTCTGCTTCACTCACTTTGCATCCTCGCCACCACATCTGCCGTCGAAGCTGTTTGGATCTGTTGCTAAAAGCAGTTGCGTTATCCGACAAGCTTTCTATATCACATAGAGGATTGAGAGAAGGATTAAACGACATAACAGGATTCTTTTATCTAGTCACACAAAGATAAGAAAATATTAATTTCTACTTCTGCAAATTTATTCCCTTTTAAGCACGAAAATAACACCCTCCCTTTCCTCCACCACAAACTTTGACATTCTGTATTGTTAAAAAAAAAGCAAAAAGTAAAAACTGCTGATCAGTTTGTTCAATCCATATTTATAACATTAAGAAAAGTCTTTCTAGGGCCTTAAGCCTTTAAAAGAAACCTATGAATTCTGGTAAGAAAATACTCTTTAGCTACTTGGGGGGTAGGGGTGGGCTAAAAGGGTCAATGCGTCAGGGAAGGATACATCTGTATTACATTCAACAATAAAGACACATTTTAAAAAGTAAATTTTAAAAATTCAAGTACTTGGCACATCTACAGAAAGAACTGACACGTGAAGGGTACATTCTTAGAAGACACCAAAAGTGACTGATTTAGAAGCAAAAAAATATGAATTTTAGAATTAAGTTTTTTCTTTAAACAACTCTATGAAGGATTAGTCATATATTCAGGCACTTATTATTTAAACAATATCTGAGAACCTATTATAGGCACAGAGACTAAAATGTTACCAGAGAAGAAAAGATAAAACTATCAGATAGATTTGAAATTAAGTGTTGATGTGATCAGACCTCTCCTGGAGGTGAGAAATACAAAGCACATCAATGTATTGATAACAGGAAAAAAGAAAAACAGGCCACTCTAACTCTTCAACAATGAGTTTTTAAATTTTCCATTCTCAATTGATCACTTGAAGAAATAACACAAGATGATTTTAAAATAAAAGAAGCTAAAGTGAAAATATGACAGTCGTCCGTTTAAGAACTAAATACTATTTTACTAAGTCACATGTTCCTAAACTTCAGCTAGAAAAATGAGAGAAGTACACTATTAAAACATCGGTTAATAATATCAAGAAATACATAAAATATCTGTACCTGATTTGTCCTGGAGTTCATCTAGTCTCTCCCCTCTTTCAATGACCTTTGTAATATTTTCTTGCATGACATCAATAACTTCATCCACCTGATTCTGAACACTAGTTTTAAAAAAAAAGGATTAACAATATTTATTTTTCTCTTGAGGATTTTATAATTTTTGACTTTCATTAGACATGATAGAAAAGAGAAAATTCTCAGAATTATTCAGCTATGAAATGTGAAAGCACTGAAGAATTTAGTCAGATAGCTTGACTCTGACCTATCAGCTCCATTTTCTTTTCAGCGGGAGCTGAGGTGCCACATGGACTCAGCTGTAACCTCAGGGTGCTGTATAGCTCACACACTAGGACTAACGAAGGAGTTTGCCCACATATGTTAGGAGCTCATGAAAACACCGTCTCCCAAATGGAAATGTAAGGTCTGCTCTAGGGCAATGACTCTCAATGGGTAAAACTCTCTTCCTCACTGCTCCTCGGTTTCCACTTCAACAGTGTTTAAGACCCTGGCAATGCCTGGGAAGGTCTGAAGCACCCAGGTGGAGCAACTCGGAAACCTATATTTTGTTCTTTAGAATAAAACTATAATTTCCTCCTTTATATTAGGTGACAAGGGCCTGCTCTGTTCTAACTCAGGCTGTTCAATGAAGATTTAATATATATTCAAAAATTTAATAACTGGTTTTCAGCTGCCTACTCTCACTCTGGAGTACATCAACACAGACATGTTCACTATTTTAAGTGTCTACTTTCCCTCTATTGTTCCAGTCATTAGGCAAAAACTGCCTTATATTAATTTGTGAAATAAGTCATGGTGACACCCTGATTTCAGGACTCTGAGACCCTGTGCAGAGGGTCTGCTATGCAGTGCCTGAGCGCCTGAGCCATGGGAAACCTGAGGTGATGGTTGTGTCCTGTTTTAGGCTGCTAATGTCAGTCAGGCCAATTTCTTACACAGCAACAGAAAATAAAAACATCTCGTTTAGTACTTGAACCAATTTGTTGGTACCTTGGTTCTATATTTCAGAATCCATGAGCTAGGATCAGTGGGCATATTTCTTCACACCAGCAGCTTCCTGATTTTAGTCCAAGTATTTCATAAAAATGTGATATCCCATCACTGTATCTTTCCCCCATGATGTGCCATCTATACTCAAAATCAGGGCAGCCTAACCCTAGCCAGTTTGGCTCAGTGGATAGAGCGTCAGCCTGTGGACTGAAGGGTCCTGGGTTGTGGGCTCAACCCCCAGTGTGGGGCGGGCAGGAGGCAGCTGATCCATGATTCTCACTCATCATAGATGTTTATGCCTTTCTCCCCCTCTTCTTTCCTCTCTCTGCAATCAATAAAAATATATTTAAAAACAACAAAACAGACCTTAAGATTGTGCTAAATGAATAGATTTGACATAAGGTAATTAAGAAAAACCAAGAACCAGGTACTGCATTTCCTTAGCTATATGTCAGATGTAGCTTTGTGAAAATAAAAATTAGTGTTTTTAAAACCCAGCAATTATATTTTGTCTATATCAGGGCTCAGCAAATTTCCTCTATAAAGGGCCAGTTAGATAATAGATATTTTAGATTTTGCATGCCATCAGTTCTCTGTCACAACTACTCATATCGGCCATTGTAGTTTGAAAGCAGCCTTAGATAATAAGAAAGCAAACAGGCATGGCTGTGCTCCAATAAAACTTTATTTACAAATGTAGGTGGCAGCCAGACATGACTCACAGGTTATGTAGTTTGCCCCCATCTATTATAGTCCACACAGAAAGATGATAATCACTTAAACAAATGAGTATCTCAGAAACTTACTGCTTAATTTTATCATTTCTAGGTCCAAATCTTGGTCCAGATGGTCCCCGTCTGAAAACAAAATGCCAAGTGCATATAAATAATGAGAGCATTAAAAACAAGAAAAAAACAGAAAACACACAAAATCAGGCTAAATCCTAGACACGGTCCTTCACCATAAGGAATCACAGTTTACAGGTACTGTTGGAACTGAATTATATGTAATCATGTCTGTCCTTCATTAGCACTTAATGCTGGTCACAATTAACCTAATTCTTTTGAATATTATAACTTTCAGGGAAATTTGGGTTTATTTAACCCTTACACACAGGATGCTCTATGATTAAACTTTGTAATACCATAACAACTACAATGCCAGGAGTATGAATAGCTTTATGATCAATTATAGAAAACTAAAAAGTACATTCACCTTGAATTCACCATTATGGAAAGCTGATTATTAGGATGGATACAGAGAACAATCCATTCAAAATGCTAAAAATTTTTCCTCCTCTTAAACTTAAGCTAAAGGGAAATTTGCAGGACTCTATGAAAATATCAACATTTCTCAAATCCTTCTCTATTACAGTAAAATGCTGTATCATTTTAATTAACCCCTTTTAAAATTCCGGAAATAAAAAAAACACACCACCTTTTAGATATTTTAAGTAATTGTTCTTCTTCTGATGATAGAGAATAAGATATAAGCTACAAAACTAGAAAGAAAATAGATTCTGTACTAATTAAACACTAATTCCCAAATCCCCACTCCTCCCAGCCCCTGGCAGTCTCTGTTCTATTTTGTGCTCTATAAATTCAACTACTCTAGGCACATAATGTAAGAGGAATCATGTAAAATTTATCCTTTCATGACCAGCTTCTTTCATTTAGCGTAGTATCTTCAAGATTCATCCATGTTGCAGTGCGTGTCAAAATGTCCTTCCTTCTTAAGACTAAAGTCCACTATATGTATATCACACTTTATCTCTCTGTCCACTGGTGGACACTTTGGTTGCTTCCAACTTTTGGTTATTGTGAATATTGCTGCAATAAACATGGGTGTTGATTACATTCTTACAATTATTTCAAGAACTTTATTTGGTGTGTCCCCCTTCCAACACAGACAAATCCACAGGGTACGGGAGTTCTATTGGGACATGTGTATTAGTTTTGTTGTCCAGCCCTTTGAAGGCGCACAGCATGAGCTGGGAATGGACCTTCCGTGGTAAATTGTTGCCTGGAGAGTTCCTGTTTCCCACAAGGGTGTCTACACCTCATTCAGGTAATCACTTATTTAACTAAACCATCTGGCCGTCTTTCCAACTCTGAGTTCTTTTTTGACAGGTAGCTATTGCTGCAGACTAAGGCTCCTTACCATAATCAGCACTATCGGCAATTCGTTTTGTGACTCTATGGAAATCTTGTCACCTGTAGGAAATTATCTTCCCACTTCATCTGCCCTTCATGCAAAAAATGATACTATTCCCGGTAATTGGATTTGTTTTATATCCTGCAGGCTCTTTCTGTTCAATGTTTTACGGTTATCAATCACTTTTTATAAAATGGTTGTTTTTTTTTGGGGGGGGGGAGCTTTTACAAAAAACTTCACAACATTATAACAAAGAGAAAGACAGATGGTTCCTCTCAAGATCATCTCTACATTAATTTCCAGAGTAAACTACAACAGTATGTCCTCCTTCCTATCTGCAAATACAAACACAGGCTATGAGAGCCCTTTCTAAACAACTCCAAAGGATTGATCGGGTCACTTAATTCTGACAAGTTATTAAGGTAATTCAATGGGGGAAAAGAATAACCAATTCATCAAATAGTGGTGGCACAATTACATAGACATATGCCAAAAGAATAAAAAAAAATATTTTTTATTTAACTCAACCATATGTGATAATTAATTTAAAGTAAATTATAAACCTAAATGTAAAAAGCAAAACTATAAAACTCCTAAGAAAAAAATAGGAGAAAATCTTAGTGAGATTGGCAAAGATTTCTTAAAAAAGCAAAAATAGTTTTAAAAAATTAATAAATTTATTTAATCAAAATAAAAACTTGGATCTTAAAAAAGATATTGTGAAAATGAAGAGATTTTTCTGCAAATTGGGAAAAAATATTGTACAACATATTTGATAAGAAACTTTTTTTTTTTAAAAGCTCTTGTGTAAAAAGCTCTTACTAGGAAGACAAATTTAAAATTGGGCAAAAGATTTTAACATGTACTTTTTAAAAAAAGATGTGAGGATGCCCAGTCAGTGTGGCTCAACTAATTGTCATCCTGTGTACCAAGTGGTCACCGGTTCAATTCCCAGTCTGGACATATGCCCCAGTTCGGGGCTTGATCCCCAGTAGGGGACATGCAGGAGGAAGCCAATCCATGTTTCTCTCTCTCTAAAAAATCAATAAAAACACATTTAAAAAATAAAGGTATGGGGATGAAAATATGCACATAAAATATGTCCAACCTAATTTGTTATTATGGAAATGCAAATTAAAATGTAATGAGATACCACTACACACCCACAAGAATGGTTAAAATGAAAGACTGGCCATATAGAGTGCTGATGAGAATTTGGAGCAATTAGAATTTTCATGCAATGCTGAAGGGAATATAAAATGGGCCACCATTTTGAAAATAGCTGCACATATACACCAGCCATTCTCCTAACTATTTATCCAAGAGAATGAAAGCAGATGTTCACACCAAACAATCTGTATGAAAATGTTTATAGTAGCCTTATTTATAGCAGCTGAAAAGTACAACTACTCCAAATAGCCATCTTGAGTGAAAGAATGAACTGCAGAACATTCATATAATGGAACACTACTCAGAAATAAAAGAAACAAACCTGATATATGTGACAGCATGGATGAATCTCAAAATAATTATGCAGATGAATGAAGTCAGTAAAAAAAGAAGCATAATGTATGGTTCCACTCATAATAAAAAAATTCTAAAAAGTACAAACTATAGAAATAGAAAGCAGATCAGTGATTGCCTAGAGATTGGGAGAATGAGAAGTTACCAAGAGAACCAAGGAAACTTTGAACATGATGGCGCTGTATATTATTTGATTTTGGTCATGATTTCACAAGTATACAGTACATGTCAAAACTCATAGTGTATACATTATATGTCAATTTGAGCCCAATAAAGCTGTTAAAAAACTTACAGAAAAAAGTCCTCTTCTTCATCTGAATCATCTTCCAAAAGATTTCTCTGTAAAAAAAAAAGAGAGAGAGAGAAAATGACTTGAATTTTCAGATTTCAGGGCTTACACACTGTCAGGTGTAAAAAACAAGTTCTGTTCTGGTGAAATTTCTGAACTCCAAGCTTCTAGGGGGGAAAGTAATTGAATGGGCCGAAACCGGTTTGGCTCAGTGGATAGAGCATCGGCCTGTGGACTGAAAGGTCCCAGGTTCGATTCCAGTCAAGGGCATGTACGCTGGTTGTGGGCACATCCCCAGTGGGAAGTGTGCAGGAGGCAGCTGATCGATGATTCTCTCTCGTCGATGTTTCTAACTCTCTATCCCTATCTCCTCCTCTCTGTGAAAAATCAATAAAATATATTAAAAAAAAAATAAAAATAAAGAAAGTAATTGCATGGGCTTCAATGGAAGCTGAAAGATCTAGAACCACACGGGCAGACTTTTGGAGGAAAATGCTTCTAATAGTGGAATCCTATGATTGACCACGAGGCAGAAAGGTCACTGAGCCGGTGTGGACCAAGGAACAGAGGGCAGTTGGGAGGAGCAAGTCCCTTCTCCTCCTCCTCCTTCCTCTATCCAGCTGTCATTCAACAGAGATGTTTGAGCATCTCTGTGCTGGGCACTGTTCTAAGGACCACGCACCGGCTTTGAAGATCACAGACAAGGTTTGAGCTCTCATAGAAAAATATCTGATAGTGATAAATGCTGCAGAGAATTAAAACAGAGATGGGATAGAAAGAGACGGGAGGATTAAATGAGATTAGGCTGTCCAGGAAAATCACTCTTCAGGGGTGAAATTTAAGCTGAGATCCAAACGGTAACAAAGAGCCAACCAAGGGTGAGGAGTATTCATGGCCAGCAAGGGGGACCGGCTAGTGCAGAAAAAGCCCCAATGGATTAATGTGAATTAATTTTTTTCTTAAAAAAAATCATACATGATTAGGATTCAACATTTTCTAGCCAACATCTGTTTACAAGATGTTGTAACGGAAGGAGAATTCAATTAAGTCACCATCTTAAGTATACTACTTTTTAATGTTTTCTGTGACGAACAAAGGGATTAGAATATAGCCATAAACGTTAAAGTTTTCTAAAACGAAGTACTTGTAACAGGAATGAAACGTTTTTAGTCTTTTTTAAAAGCTTAAGATTCTGAACTTACCCTTTCACTTTTCACAGAACCGGTGACATCGTCGTCGTTCAGGTGGCGCTTGAACTTGGGAGGCATATTCTCTTTTTGCTCTGGAAGTTCCCTTCTACGTCCCAGCAGAGTAAGGACTCACCGCCTTAAAGGAAAAATAGGTTTCATTGGATTTGAGACGTGTGGGTGAAAGGCAAAGAAAGTACTTACAACAGAGGCCACGGCCTTATTGTGAGGGGCCTCCTTCCTTCTCTGACTCCAATCACTCCCTCCTCACTTGCTCCTCTCCAGGGCCCTCCCTGCTGGGCCTCAACACATAATAGTAAAAAAAAAAAATCATGAAAAAATGGATGTAATTTTCTTAGGAGAACACGTGGAGGAAATGAGTGACAAAGTTTTATAAAATGAGCTGAGACCGGTTTGGCTCAATGGATAGAGCGTCGGCTTGGGGACTGAAAGGTCCCGGGTTCGATTCTGGTCAAGGGCATGTACCTTGGTTGCGGGCATATCCCCAGTAGGGGGTGTGCAAGAAGCAGCTGATTGATGACTCTCTCTCTCATCGATGTTTCTAACTCTCTATCTCTCTCCCTTCCTCTCTGTACAAAATCAATAAAATATGTTTTAAAAAAAAGAAAAAAAGAAAGAAACAAAGTTTTATAAAATGAAAAAGCAGACTGTACATGAAGGAAATGACTATAGGAGGTGTGTCCCTGAAAGTGAGACACTGAATGCTTTAGGACAGTGGTTGGCAAACTCATTAGTCAACAGAGCCAAATATCAACAGTACAATGATTAAAATTTTTTTTGAGAGCCAAATATTTTAAACTACTTCTAATGCCACTTCTTCAAAATAGACTTGCTCAGGCCGTGGTATTTTGTGGAAGAGCCACACTCAATGGGCCAAAGAGCCGCATGTGGCTTGCGAGCCCTGGTTTGCCGACCACTGCTTTAGGACTTTTACTTGGAGTGAGCAGTCAGCAGAACACTTTCAGTGCTCACTTGAGGTTAGTTGTTTGAACGATTCAGCTCCCTCATGTGTGAAACAGTATTTTCTAGGCTTCTGCATGGAATTGGGAGGGGGTCTACTCAGATAATACATGCAAAAGCATTCTGTAAACTCTAACATTCTGTTCTGAAACATAGCACTGGGTGTTCCAAGAAAAGTGATGTTTGGTAAGAACTGTTCAACAAAACCAGCATTCTTCTTCCCCTTTAGAAAGTCTCACTTCCTTATATACGCTAATATGCATTGCGATTTTCCAGGAACACGGTTGAGTTGGCAACATACTCAAAATTTTCTCCAGAAAAAGCTGACGTATGCAGGTATGAGTTTTCGTTTTCGGATTCTTGGACCAGAAGATGGATGAATGATGAGTGCCCAAAGTTTTACTGTGAGCTGGGCACTGTGCTCAGGGATTTATGTGCATTTCCTGTTACTCTTAGGCACTAGAAAACTACAGGAAAGCCAGGGCTTAGTAAAGAGAAGCAATTAACAGTGTTAGCCACTCTGCCCATTGACATAGCAGAAGCACAGGCCTCAATTAATCATGGCTGTGCATGATCAGTTGTGATATTTATTCAGTTAGTGGACCAGCAGGTTACACAGTCGTGTCCTAGAAAGACCACTTCCCTGTAACAATCCAGCAGCCCTCTTCCCCCTTCCGCAGGAAGGGTCTGAAGAGCTTCAAATTAACTGTAGCTGGACATCAATTTGTTGGTGAATGTTATAATGTAAAAACAAACAAACAAACAAACAAAAAAAACAAAAAAAAAAACCCACAAGCCCACAGTCCAGTTTCAAAAACGAAATAAAAGTAAGATTTGAAGCTGGCTTCCTGTCAAAACAAATTGGTAAGAAACTGTTCTTGAATAAGAAATGCTCCAGAACCGGAAACTTAACCACGTGTTAAGAAAAAACAAACAAACAAAAAAAACCCCACAAAAACAAATACTTGCCACCTGAGTAAACAACTCTAGAGTTCATTCAACAATATTTCTGGCCTTGATTTCAAAATCACTCATTCATGCAGGAATGTTACAGAATGCATGAAAAAAACCACACTACAAAACGAAACAAAAACTCACCCACAAATGACACAGGAAGCAACCTGAAGGAATGAGGTTTTTATTACACCCGCATTTTGTTTGTATGTAAAACCCCACCAAGAGGCTACCTCAACCTCTCAAAGCACGTAACAGGCAGATTTACATAACTTCTTGATGAAACACACGGTGAAGCTACAAGCTTCACGGTGAGCAAGACCCATCTTCAGAGCCCATAATCCAAGGATCAGCCTCGGGAAGGCAAGAAACCGGCGTCTGACCAACAAAAAAAAAAGCCAACAGCAAAGCAGCAGGCAGATTCACTGACTACGCATCCCAAACCACTCACAGAAAAAAAAAAACCAACCACCATACTTAGCAATTATACATATACATGCTCTCCTAAGATGATGTCTGAAAAACAAGACAAAACAAAACCTCACGCATGCATTCAGGTGTCTGTGTCTAGATGTAGATGTAAACAAGAGTCTTCACCAGGCAATTCAGCACTGAGGGCAGAATAGCGGTGCACAATTCACCTAAAAAAAATGTCATCGCCGTCTGCTTCCTATGCCATCCTCCCACGTTTACAATGCATGCATTTTTGGAAGAGGCAGTACGTTCTCGCTTCGGGGGCTTTGCCCCTAACACGCTCCTAACCTGTTGTTTAGTAAATGTTGGCAAAAAAAAAAGAAAAAAAAAAAAAAAAAAAAAAGAAAAAAAAAAAAAGAAAAAAGAAATAATAACAAGCCACCTTGTGTGTTTCATTTCGCACCAGGCCGAGGGTTCCCCGGTCCCCGCCTCCACTCCCTCCCGGTCTGACTCCTCTCCCGGTCTCTCGCCCGCAGGCGAGGCGGATGCAGGTTCCGGGAAACCGGCGCCTGGACTCTCACGCAGCCCGGAGAGGCCGCCATTCACCAAACCTGTCAGCGCAGGGACCGCCCGCGCACGCCAGTCCCCAAACACGGAGCCTTTTAAATCCCGACCCGGCCCGGCCCTCCAGCCCGAGGCTCCTCCCCCGCCCCATCTGTCGCACCAGGTCCGCTCCAACCTCCGGGGCTTTCGGCCCCGCGACACGCACCCCCTCCCCTTACCCTTCCTCCCCGCATCCTGGTCCCCCCCGGACCCCCTCCACCTGCGCCCGCTCCGGTCAGCCTCCGGGGCCCCCGGCCGGACGCGGACGTTGCGGGACTGGGGCGTCGTCTCGGTTTCCTTCCGCCTCCCTCCTCCCACCATCCTCTCCGAGACCAGGCGGGCGCCCGTACCTGAGTCTCCCGGGAGGTCTCGGGGCGGCTGCGGGGAGGAACCGGGAGCCGAGGAAGGAGGCGGGGAGCGGAGGCAGTGGACGCCCAGTCGGCGCCCGCCGCTCCGCCGCAGCTGCGCCCCCGCTGATCGAGCTCATTGGCGCTCCGCTCCGCGGCCTGGGGGCGGGGGCGGGGCCAGGCCGCGACGATCGTCCTAGGAGTCGATTCTCCCCAGAGAAGGGAGGATCCGGCGGCAGGTGCTGGTTCGGATCCGGCGGCAGGTGCTGGTTCGGATCCGGATCCCTCGGGTTAGAAGGCGCTTTAAGGGAGGAATAACTGGTTCCCGAGGTTCCGTTCCGACACGGCGTGGTGTCGGGAGTAGGCGGAGGCAGCTGCGATCAGTCACTCGGGGTGGGGCTGATGAGACCTTTAGAGGGAAGCGGAGGAGAAAGGGAGGGTAGACCTTCACCGGCATCCTTTAGAGTTGTGACCTAAAATAACTAGGCTCAGGCACTGTTCCCTCATCTTTCCTGGCTTTTTAATGTCAAACTGTTATTGCCCACTGGTCCCAAAGGCAAACAACTTAGCATTTATGCTATGTCCTTAGTTTTCCTTATAAAAGGGAATTAACTGCCTACCAGTCCATGCGTTATCGGGAAACTGGGGTGCCTGCAGATGTCCACGATAGAGAAGGAAACTACTGAACGCAGAGAATTCTGGGAATCAAATCTCTTATTTAGAGGAGGTCTGGCTGGATTTACTGTCATATTTATTTCTTTTTTTAAATGAATTTGGAGCTTTACCTCAATTATGAGTGCTCAGGTCCTATGTGGCTTATGATAAGACCTGGTGACGAAGTGAACACAGAGCCCCGGAAGCTTGCCCTCTCCCGGGGTTCAGACATCAACCTGGGTTCCAGGGAACCGGCCACTTCCGCCCCCATCCACGGGGCCCGCCTACTTCCGCCTCACATAAACAAACGCTCGGCGCCTGCGTGAGGCGAGCCCCTCGCAGCCAATGGGGTGCCAGGAACAAAAAGTCAGTGACCAATGAAATGCTGGGAGGTCTGGACGGCCGACCAATGGCGAAGCCTCGCACCCGGATATGATTGCCGGCTCTGAAATGAAGCTCTGAGGAGGACTTGCGCTCCCCATGTGGCAGGGGCTGTGGGCGCCGAGTCGAGGGTGAGCGTGTTAGATTCGGTGTCTCGCGCGTGCGGTTCACACGTGGGGGCCCTCCCTTCGGGTTTTAAATGGGGAAAATATCAACGTGGCCGCTTGTCTGTGGAAGGAAAGCCCATTGAAGTGTCCCGGAGCCAGCGTGGTGGGAAGCCCCTCCGTTGGTACCTCCCTTACAGGGCGTGGGACCGTCTCGAAGACGCAGCCGCGGTGTTGGAAATATGAATCTCTTACCTAAGAGCTCCAAGGAGTTTGGCTCCGTGGACTATTGGGAGAAGTTCTTCCAGCAGCGCGGAAAGAAAGCTTTCGAGTGGTATGGGACTTACCTGGAACTGTGCGGGGTGCTGCACAAGTACATGAAGCCCCGGGAAAAGGTAAGTGCGGCCTGGCAGCCGAGATGAGAGAGGGAGAGCGAGAGCAACAGAATGAGAATGAAAATGAGAGAATGAGAATGAGTGTGTGTGCGCGTTCGTTCGTTCCAGGTTATCCTGCACACGGTAAACAGGGACAGGCATGGGGCCCCTAATTGGGCCCATAATTTCAGGATTTCATGCATCATTCTGGTTGAAAGACAGTTAAAAGTATATTTTTTAAAAGGTTTGAGATAAAAGACTTCCCGCCCCAGATCATCCTTCAATGAATAACCCCACTGAAAGAATCACTTATTTTAGTAACTCAACCTAGATGTGGTCTTCTGTGCGTTTCTGTCACTGCATCCTTGTGAAGAAGGCACTAGCCATGTTTCACTGATACACAAATCTGTTATCAAATAATTGTAGTATTATTTTCAATTAAGGTATAATGCCCCTGGCACAATCCCGAAGAGAGGAGTGTTGACAGAGGTGGGCTTGTACTGGAGGTAGGAAAAGAGTAGAAAGCTTTAAGGAAGTTTTAAGCATCGAGCCTTGTGCTGTGTGTATGTTTGAGTGTTTGAGAGTTTATTATGAGAATTGACATAATTCTCATAATAAACTCTGAGGTGAATGGTGTACACACATTATACAGATGGAAAAATGAGGCTCTGAGATCTTAATATAATATAAGTAATAAGTGGCCACATGGAAATTTAAACTCTGGCCCATCAAGCTCCAAAGTTTAGGCACTTCTCATTGTGTATACCGTGCTTTTCCAGAGACGGTGACATCAGGGTAGAATTTTGAAGGATTAATAGGAGTTTACTGCATAGAGCATGAGGCAACAACTTGTGCATTTAAGTTCAGCTTCAGAAAATACCAGGATATCATGAGGAGAAGCCAAAGGCATGAGTGGAATAGGATTATGAACTAGATTTTCAACAGTACAACAGATAGGAGATTTCAACTGTAACTACTTACTGCATTTGGATTCTGTGACTTCCTACCGGTTCTTGAGCAAAAATGCCTGATTCAGAGAAAAGAACAACCATGATTAGCTTGTTTCCATAATATGGAAAGCCCTTTCCACATGACCTGCATGGCTGTTGCTGAACGTGATTTTCACTAGTGAGTCCTCTAACCAAAGGTGTTTTAAGATGGAGCCTAGAATCAGCTCTGTAATGGCGCTCTCTTCAGTAACATTACACAGAAAACATGCAACAGCCAAGGCGAGACTTGATTCCTCAGCTCGTGTGAAGCTCATTCCTTTGCCTTAGTCACCTCCATCCTGTCTGTTCCCCCCCCCTTCAGGTGCTGGTGATTGGGTGTGGTAACTCGGAGCTCAGCGAGCAGCTGTACGATGTGGGCTATCAGGATATTGTGAACATTGACATCAGTGAGGTTGTCATCAAGCAAATGAAGGAACGCAATGCCAGCCGACGGCCCCGGATGAGCTTCTTGAAGATGGACATGACCCAGATGGAGTTTCCTGATGCCTCTTTCCAGGTGGTGCTGGACAAGGGCACCCTGGATGCTGTCCTGACCGACGAGGAGGAGAAGACCCTGCAGCAGGTGGACAGGATGCTGGCTGAGGTTGGCCGTGTCCTGCAGGTGGGCGGTCGCTACCTCTGCATCTCCCTGGCTCAGGCTCACGTCCTGAAGAAAGCAGTGGGTCACTTCTCCAGGGAGGGGTGGATGGTCAGGGTGCATCAGGTGGCCAGCAGCCAGGACCGGGTGTTGGAAGCAGAGCCTCAGTTTCCCCTGCCTGTCTTTGCCTTCATCATGACCAAGTTCAGGCCGATCCCTGGCTCCGCCCTCCAGATCCTTGAGCTGTGTGCTCAGGAGCAGGGCAAGCCTGTGCGGCTGGAGAGTGCTGAGCGGCTGGCCGAGGCAGTGCGGGAGCGTCAGCAGTATGCCTGGCTGTGTAGCCAGCTGTACCGCAAGGCCGGGCTGGGGAGTGTGTCCCTGGACTTGTGCAATGGGGACACGGGGGAGCCACGCTACACCCTCCACGTGGTGGACAGCCCCGCCGTGAAACCATCGCGGGACAATCATTTTGCCATTTTCATCAGTGAGTTGGGATCGGTCCCTCTCTTCCCTGGAAGGGCTGGGCTGGGGCGTTGGTGGATGGGTGTGCCTTGGCTGGTTTCATCTGGCAGGGATGGTACTTTCAGAGGTTAGATTGGCCAAGGCGTGAGGAAGAAACAATAGCAACTCTCCCGGTACCTTAGATTTGAAGCTTCTTTCTCCTCATCTTCCATCACAAAGCCTTGGTGAAGTGGGAGAATGGGGTTGGTAGGAAGGAGAGGAGTCATACAGATGAATTTAGGCAAACCACACACTGTAGAGATGGTAGTTACCTTGTTAAGTGGTAGGAGCTGTCCAGGCTCAGGTCTGTAGCCTTTAAGCTGTGGGACCTGGGGAAATTGCCCAGTTTCTCTGCTGAATTAGAGAGCTAGTACAGAGCAGTGGCTAAAAAAGGTCGGCTCTGGAACCAGGTTATTCGGGTTCCAATTCTGTCCCAGTCACATCCTGGTGATGTGACATTGGACATGTTATTTGTTTTCTGTGCCTCAGTCTCCTCATCCATAGGTGACCTCATAACTACCTTGTGTAGTTGTGAGAAGTGTAAAAGCTCTTAGGAAGGTGCCTGGCACATGATAACTGCTTTATGGACATTAGTGTTATTATTAAAAGGAGTAAACGATACCAGATTTACATTAATCATGTTCAGAAAGGAGAATATGAGAGAATGCTTTAAAAAATAGAATATTTTAGATAAATGCAAGGTGTCGATGGGTCACGCTGGCCACTTGTTTCCAGATGACTGAGCCATTTTCCCAAGTATTCCATAATCCTGCCTGCACCGGTGGGAGCAAACGTGTGCCCTGGACGTGAGCATGGAGCCTGCAGCTGGGCTGCCTGGGTTTGAGTTCCAGCTTTGCCATTTATTAGTTCATGACTGGGGCAAAGAATGTAACTTCTGTCTCAGTTTCTCATTTATACAATGGAACTAATACTACTACCTGGAGCCCGGGCTATTGTGAAGATTCTATGTTCTTCTGTTTGTTAAGTGCTTGGAATAACGCCTGGTATGGAATAGGCATTAGTAGTATTGCTATTTTTTCTCCTTGTGCTCATGCTTCTTATTTCCCCCCGGTCCTGTCTCATGTCTGATGGCAGCTTTGCTCTGGGCCTTGTGCTCCAGGGACTCGAACCCCCTCCGTGGGTCACAGTTGGAAGGGATTCTGGGCCTGGGCAAGGCCTGGCTCTCTGCCATGTGGCCATGTCGGTAGTGGGCTCGAACACTCTTCCCGGGACTCCCTGTCACCAGGCGCCTGTTTCCAGTCCCCCAGGGTCGGGAGACCGAGTGGCTCTTTGGCATGGAGGAGGGTCGGAAGCAGCTGGCGGCCAGCGCTGGCTTCAGGAGGCTGATCACAGTGGCCCTGCACCGGGGTCAGCAGTACGAAGGCATGGAGAGCATCCAGGCCGAGCTGTCGGCCAGAGTCATGGAGTTGGCCCCTGCCGGGATGCCCGCCCAGCAGCAGGTAAGGAAGCTCAGCAGTAGCTTTCACAGGTCTCTGGAGAAGTCACACTGGCAGCCGGGAAGACAGAGGGTGTCCTGAAAGAAGCTAGGGCAGGCTCTGTGACCGTAGTCGGCTCCTGGAGGGCATGTCAGCAGCTAAGAGCTGAGTGGGTATCAATCACATTTCTTTGCCCCAGGCAGCGTGAGGAAGGCAGGTGGTTGCCATTATTGAGACCCACAGGGACATGTGGGTCTGGGGTTGGGGGGTCTTCTCAGACTCCATAGAGGTGGCATGAAGGAGATGCTCCAGCTCTTGCAGGCTCTAGCTCTTCATTCTGTGAATGACTTGGACTGTATGTCTGTGTCCTCACTTGTGCACAAGACTCTCTTGATCCTTTGCTGCTGCTGCTTTTTTTTTTTTTAATCTTTATTGTTGAAAGAATTAAGTATGTTCTCTTTATTCTCTCATTGACTCCTTCTAACTCCTTGCCCCTTTTGCTCCTTAGAGCCATCATTATCTGAGGGTAAATGGATACTTTCAGGATATGAGCATTGCCTGTCTGGGGTTTTACTGGGAAGGAAACTGGAGGTTTTTTTTTTTTTTTTTTTTTTTTTTTTTTTTTTTTTTTTTGCCAAAGTGGTGATATGGAATTACCAGTCAACATGGTTTGTCTGATGCCATCCTGGTCGCAAGGCAGGGTAATGGGCAGGTGACTTTATTCTTGACAGAGGGGAAAGCTGAGTGATGTACGGATCTGAAAAAAAGAGTAGGCTCCCGATTCCCAGCCTGGGTTCTGCCCACGAGGCTGACTTGTGCTTATGGAGGAATGTATTTGAGTCTTCCTGGTAGACTCGGGGTCGATGTCCATCAGAGGGACCCAGCTCCTGTGGGAGGTTATTTGTGACCTCTCACCAGTGCCAAAGTCTCTGCCAAGTCTGGAATCCCTGGCGATCATTAAATATCCATATAAGTCTTTGAAAAGCAACAGATGTAAAGACTGGAAAAAAGGAAAGAGGAAAGTTTAGGGGAGAATTATATTTTTCTCCTAATTTTTTTCCTCCTGTTTAGAATAATGAGATAAAAGGATGAGAATGGCTAAGGGAAAGGAGACATCTCTTCACGTTTGGAGTGGATGAATTAGCTCTGTCATCCCTGGATTTCGTTATCTCATCCCCGTTCATATTTCTTCTCTCATAATTATAGTCTCTTCTCAAGGTTCTCTCGGGCTTTGATTGTCCTGCATTGTTGAAAGTGCTTTTGAGGATTACTCTTGAGAAACTCCTCTGTTTTTCTTGGGGGACAACCAGCTGCATTTTATAATGGTTTTGCAGGGGATCAGTTAGTTTTCAGGAAGGTAAATTAAACCTTATGAGATCAAGTCAAAGGCCCCAGAGAAGAGCTGGAATAGAATGGCACATCTGTGGATTTCTACTGCCCAGAACCATGGCATGGATTCCTCAGATACACACCGGGAAAGGGGTTCTACTTTCTCACGTTTCTTAGCTGAGCTGGTGTTTTGAGCGCATCTCTGCTGTACCTTCAGGTGCCTTTCCTGTCTGTGGGCGGAGACATCGGGGTGCGGACCATTCAGCACCAAGACTGCAGCCCCTTGAGTGGCGACTACGTCATTGAGGACGTGCAGGGGGATGACAAGTGCTACTTCCGGCGGCTCATCTTCCTCAGCAACAGGAACGTGGTGCAGTCAGAAGCCAGACTGCTGAAGGGTGTGTCTCACAGAGGTGAGGCGTCAGAGGCACATTGGTGGGACCCGAATGGACATTTCTGGTGGTCAGAAGGACCTGGGAGCATGGCCGAGATGTAAGACAGACCTGGGTACCTGTGACCAGAGGCACATGGCCAAGTGGGTTGTCCTCTTAAACCACCTGGGCTCTTAGGGTGGGAGTGGCCAGCGGAGTAGAGGTCTGTGTTCTGTTCTTGAGCCAAGCCTGGCTGTGAAATGATAAGGAGCAGGGCTAATGGTTTCCCAAGTAAACATGATCATCACTTTAATGCCTTCCGTTTAAAAGCCACTTGCTTTACAAGTTCCACATATGTCCGGGTACTAATTCAACAGGGCTCTGTAAGGTGAGCCATTCCTACTGTCTTGAGTGGTACAGTAGAAAGATGATAGGCATTGGAGACAGGCAGTCCCAGGTTTATACTCAGGCTGCACTACCTATTGATTCTGGACCTAATTATTAATTCTTCAGATTCTTACGTGTTCTATCTGCCAGTTATAGGAGCTAAAAGTAAAAAAACTAGGATAGCAGTTGGCATAAAGGAGATAATTGTAAGTCCTTCCCTACAAGAATTTATGAAGATTCTGTTAGTGGCCTTATATTTCTCATAGGAGTGGTACCAGGACTCCTAGATTTGAGTTTTCTCAGGCTTTGGGGTATATCTTGACCATTTTCCTTTTCAGACTCTGACATGTAACCAGTTCAAACTCCTGCATATTTAACGCTTGGGTTTGTGAGTGAGGTCAAGTCAGCTGCAGCCCACTGCCCCTGGTGCTTTGCTCTCTGAGGACTAGTGGACTAAGCATAGGACTTCATTGTCTCTCTTAATTTAGCCCAGAAGAAGCGGAAAAAGGACAGGAAGAAGCAGTCGCCGGCTGGTACTCCAGAGGAGCCCCCTGCAGCCCCGGGGCAGCCCATCGATAAGAGCTACCTGTGCTGTGAACACCACAAAGCCATGATCGCCGGCCTGGCCTTGCTGAGAAACCCCGAGCTGCTCCTAGGTAAGGGGGTCGTCACTTCTCCCCACAGCGAGGAGCATGGGAGACGACAGAGCTAATCAAAGGAGCTGCTTGTGAATAAGAGCAGTGATCACAGACTGACAAAAAGCATAAACATTCATATCTTTCTTATTCCCAACCTGCTTCTAAGTTAACGAACACCCAAATAACTTTTTCCTCAAACTGAAGTTGTAATGTTGACATGGCCATATATGTCTTAAGTCTGAAGTTTTTTTCTTCCACTCATTTATTTAAACAATGAAGGTGTGAAGTACATCCGGTGAGATAGGTAAAGTACGCAGATCTACAGCTGTTCAGCTTGATGAATTCTTACATATGTATATACCCACATAACCAGATTGAGTCTTTAAAAACCATGTCTCCAGGCACTGGCCAGTATGGCTCTGTTGGTTCAGCATTGTCCTGTGCACCGTAAAGGCACTGGTTCAATTCCTGGTTGGTCAGGGCACACACCTGGGTTGCAGGTTCAATCCCCAGTAGGAGGTGTGCAGGGAGGCAGCTGATCAATGTTTCTCTCTTACATCAATGTTTCTCTCTCCCTCTCCCTCTCTCTCACCCTCACCCTCGCCCTTGCCCTCGCCTTCTCCCTAACTCAATAAAAACATATTTAAAAAATAAAAGTAAATAAAAACCATGTCTCCAGAGAAATGCCTTCGCACTTAAGGGGAATTTCTGGCTTTTCAGTAATGCATTGTATGATTCTAGCTTGAATTCCTACTTAAAAACCCACATTATAGTCATAGCCTTCTCACTAATGACAGGTTTGGATCTGACCACAGTAGTGAAAGCGGTCATATTTCTGTGTGTGAGCCTTCTTTACCCACAGTCCCTGCGTGTGTCCTTTGGCCCATTGTGGCTTTGATCTATGTGGAATCCACTGTCTTTTGATCATGAACCAGGTGTTGGCCATTGTAGACCCACATTTTGTAGAGGGGTCTAATAAGGCTTATGGTGGGGACTCTTGGTGACGAATGCTTTGGGATTTTTAAGGGGATATTCTGGTTATCTTCTGGATCTGGTAAGGGAAGGATTGTGAGGCCAGGGTTGAGTTTTCAGATGTCAAATTAACTCCTAAATTTTGGGATGAGACAGGGAGGCCAAGCCCCTAAATCTGGAATCCCCTGGGCAGAGCCAACAATTTGACTCCCTCTTTTGCCCTCCTGAGGCTGGTACCAAACTTTTCCTGTGAGCAGATGGTGAAACAGTGCTTTCTTCCTGTATTACAGAGACGCCGCTGGCGTTGTTGGTGGTAGGCCTGGGCGGGGGCAGCCTCCCCCTCTTTGTCCACGATCATTTCCCAAAGTCCCGTATCGAGGCTGTGGAGATCGACCCGTCCATGTTGGAAGTGGCTACCCAGTGGTTTGGCTTCTCCCAGAGCGACCGGATGAAGGTCCACATTGCAGATGGCCTGGACTATATTACCAGCCTAGCGGGAAGAGAAGGTACTGCTGCTGGAGAATTTGGGGGGTGTCAAGGGAAGGTTGATCCAAGGTTGTCAGGCCTGTAAGGGCCTCTGGAATCCATCTCTGAGAGGGTGGCATCAGCAACATCCTACTAGTCTTTTTCCTGTTGATTTGTTGAAATTTTGTCAGTAACTACACAGTGCCCACCATATGTTAGCTCGGTGCTAGGGGCTAGAGTGTAGCAAGTACTACGGACTGTCTCCTGACCTGCTGGCGCTAACAGACAGTCGGCTTTTCTTTTGACCCTGCAGCATTAGCATCTCCTCCCCACCTTAAGAAACCTCCAGTATGTAGCCGGGAGAAGAAAGATGAAGAAAAGTTGAGGGGTGTGTTGGGAGGTATTTTTTTCTAAAATCAGCCGGAAGTGAAGCCAGAAATAGAACAAAACAGCATTCATGCCAACTGGTTCCAAATCTCGGACGTTTGGCAGTATCTGCACATGTTGTTGGTTGTCATAACCATTGGGTAGGGATGCCTCTGGCGGGAGAGACCAAGGATGCTGCTCAACTTCCTACGATGCAAAGGACAGCCTCTGAGGGCAGTGCATTGTCTGACCCCTAATGTCTGTAGTGCCGAGGCTGAAAGGCCCTGAGGCAGATGCTGCTCAGTGGGGATCCCGACAGCCCTGCAGCTGCTGGATCTAAGGTGGCGTTGATTCTAGTATTTCATATCCCAGACTTAGGACAAAATTCCTATTCATGTTCTGCAGGAGGTCCCTTGGTCCTTGTGCATGTTCATAGATAGGCTCCTGGTGACTTGTGCTTTCCGGAGTCCGTTGGGGAAAAGTCAGGTTGGCTCAGTCCTAAGTGAACCTGGTGGGGGGCTCAGGCCCACCTTTCCTGGTCTGCTCGTTCCGTAACTGATGCTTGGTTCTCATTGGACTGAGTGAGGGTGTGGCAACCAGAATGACATTTTGGTGCTGGGATGAGTGTATTGGTGCTGGGATGAGTATATTTGGTGCTGGGATGTGTATATTTGGTGCTGAGATGGACAGATGCCGCCTTATTTTAACTGCAAACTGACCACATTAAGCGTTTTACAGGTTCCCTCTCTGAGGCTAGAGTCATTCTGGGGGCTCAGGCCCAAGATAGCGAATACATGTGAAGCATGTAAAAGGCATGTGGTAGGTCAGCCCTTAAGGGCTTAGATACCTGCTTGTCCAGATCAATGATTCTCAGCTCTGACTGCATTGATAATTACCTGGGGAGCTGAAGAGAAATGTCAGGCCTTCCGGGAGGTTTTTAACTCAGCTGGTCAAAAAAGGAGCCAAGATTCTGTAGGTATTTAGAAGCTTCCCATGGTGACTCGAATGTTCTGTCAAGGTTGACAGCCACTGGGACAGACAGACTCTTAGCCAAGTAAGTACCCTGCAGAATGGACTCCAGAAAATGAGACCAGGCTCCGTCTGTTAGGTGGGGTACTCACAGCAGAACCTTGGTGACGATTCCTCTGGACGGTGATGTCAGTGGCCTTAACATGCACATCCTCCCTGTCGTCCTCCTGGCTCAGCCACCTGCGCCCACCACAGGTCACAGGAGAGATGCAGTGCAGGAATGTAAGTGGCCTTATTTTACCCAGCAAAGACAAAAGCTCTTTTGCTTCTCTTTCCCAGCACGGCCTCAGTACGACGTGATAATGTTTGATGTGGACAGTAAGGACCCAACACTGGGAATGAGTTGTCCACCCCCCGCGTTTGTGGACCAGCCCTTCCTACAGAAGGTCAAGAGCATCTTGAGTCCTGAAGGTATGAGAACGAAAGGCCGGGAAGTGGGGATGGATGGGTCCTTCAAAAAAAAAAATTTTTTTTTAAACAAAAAATGCACATATTATAAATGTGTAACTGGATTTATTTCCTTCCTTTGAACACCCCCCGTTACCAGCACTGAACACACAGCATTTCCAGCGCCCCAGAAGTCCACCTCTCACCTCCTGTTTGGGATAACCACTCTCCCAACTTCTACCAGCACATCTTAGTCTTCCCATTTATGTCCTATACAAATGCAGTAATCATACAGATGATAGTCTTTAAGTTTCTGTTTCACTCAACGCGATGCTTGTGAGATTCATCCATAATATTGCGTTTCCATGGATCCTTTCATTGCTGTGTAGTGTCATCGTGTGGCTGTAGCGCTCAGACTCCCCCTCTGCTCTTGGTAGTGGGCTGTTTTGCTGTTGTGTGCTTTTCTAAGTAGTGCTGCCATTAACATTCGAACGATGCCTTTTGGTGAAACGCTGGCGGGTCTGTTGGGCATATACTGAGGGCTGTAATCGCTGGACGGTAGGTGAAGCGTATGCTCGTATGCTCAGCTTTCGCAGATGCTGCCGCCGGCTTTACAAAGTGGTTGTAGTCATTCACACTCCCACCACGACGGCAATGCCCATTTCAGATGAGGAAACCGAGGTAAAGAGACCTGCCAAGGCGGCCAGGCTAACAGCTGGGACTCCAGCCCAGGTCCTTGCGAAAGCTGGGGCTCTGAGTCATGTGTCTGTGGCCCCCACATTTTGACTTGGTGTACGGTGCTGTGGTGAACAGAGTTGACTTAGAACCTTAACTGTTGCAAGGTGACCTAGGCCATCCCTGGCTAGTTAATACCGCATGGTGTTTGTCAAGAACATAACATCCCTACGGAGTTGGTACATTCTTTCTTGCGGGTATTAGTTACTTTTTTCGCAAAGCGATTCTTTGGGAAATGGAGAATGGTGAAATCATTGGTTAGCAGCATAGGAGAGCAAGAAATGGGCTGATGTTTCCTCTGGTTTGCATATTTCCCATGCTTTTCTCATTCTGCTTTTTGTGTGTGTATGTTCTCTGCAAGCTGGCTGTCGCCGTTGGTGCTGTCTTAGCCCCCCCCAGCCACCCAGGGCAGAAATTGTTATTTTCAGAGCTGTATCTTGTCTCCACGTGTCACCAGATTTGCGGTCATTCTGACTCTTTCCTTCCCACCCTACAGGTGTCTTTATCCTCAACCTTGTGTGCCGAGACTTGGGGCTAAAGGACTCAGTGCTGGGTGGGCTCAAGGCGGTGTTCCCCCTCCTGTATGTCCGGCGCATCGAGGGGGAAGTGAATGAGATTCTGTTCTGTCAGCTGCACCCCGAGCGGAAACTTGCCACACCAGAGCTCTTGGACATGGCCCAGGCCTTGGAGCGGACCCTGCGGAAGCCAGGGAGGGGTTGGGATAGCACCTACGTCCTGTCTGATATGCTCAAGACTGTGAAGATTGTGTGATTGATCGCTGGCCTCTCAGCCTCCTGCCCGCCTAACCTTGAACTCCTGGCCTGCCAGAGATTGATGAAATAGAACCCACCATACTTTACTCTTGGTTTCATACTCAGCTGCATGGGATCTTCAGCCTGGTGAGCTGGGAAAATAAAAACGATCTTCCTGTACTGTCCTCCTCAGTACCACTGGGTTGGTTGCCTTTGCTTCCTACACCGAGCCCTTGGGTAGAGTTCCGTGTTGTAGCCCCCACCAGTCGCTGATGCCTTCACGAGTGAGCACCAAGCTCCTTAGGGAAAGAGTCTTCTTTCAAGAAGCTGTTTCACCTCAACTGTATTTCCCGCTTCTTTCTCTTTGCCTATTTTCCCCTCTCCTCACCCAGTACTCTATCCACGCCTCTCATTTCCTACCACCCTTTTATCCCTCCCATGGGTGTGGAGAGAACGGTTTTCTCTAGGGAAGGAGGTCCCCGATGGTGGAGCACAGTGTGGACAGTCCGCTGTGATTGCTGGCTTGCCTTTGCTCTGTCCTTCTGTCGGCTCGGCAGGAACAATCTCAACTCCGGGCCAGCACACTGTGGACAGAGCAGGTTCCCCGTAGGTGCCCTTCTCAGGTTTGGTAATTTGCCAGAGCAGCTCACAGAACTCAGGAAAAAAACTGTTCGCCCTGATCACCAGTTTATTATAAAAGGACACAATTTGGGAACAGCCCAGAGATGCTCAGGGCTGGGTGTGCATACAGGGTGGGAGCTTCCTGCCCTCTGTGGGCACGCCATCCTCCCAGCACCTTGTGTTCGCCCACCCGAAAGCTCTCAGAACCTTGCGCTCTTGAGATTCTTATGGAGGCTTCCTCGTGTAGGCATGATGGATTAATAACTCAATTTCCAGCCCTTCCCTTTCCCAGTGGGTGGGGCGTGGGGCTGAAGGCTCCCAGTGTGTAACCACGGCCTTTCTGGTTACTCGCTCCCATCCAGGACCCCACCCAGGACCTCATTAGAGCAAAGGTTGCTATTCTCACACAAGAAATCAGAGAAATTTAGGAGCTCTGAGTCAGGAACTGGGGTCAGAAGCCAATGTGCACGTTTTCTTCACACACCTATCCACTCACACATCCCAGCTCCTTGCCCTCTGGGTAGAGGATGGTATGTGAGGGGTCAGCCTGCTGCACTGGTGACTTCTTCTATGGAGCACGCAGCGCCGCTCCCACTGTAACGGCCTCGGTGTACCTCTGAGGACTGTAGCCCAGTAAACCCTAGGCCAGTGGTTGGCAAACTCATTAGTCAACAGAGCCAAACATCAACAGCACAACGATTGAAATTTCTTTTGAGAGCCAAATTTTTTTAAACTTAAACTACTTCTAACACCATTTCTTCTAAATAGACTGGCCCAGGCCATCGTATTTTATGGAAGAGCCACACTCAAGGGGCCAGAGAGTCGCATGTGGCTCAAGAGCCGCAGTTTGCTGACCATGGTGCTAGAACATCCAGTTTCCACCTTGTCTTGCCATTTGGTTTCTGTACATTTGCTAACAGGTAACTGCTGATAAGAAATAGAATTCTTTTTATTTATTTTTAATTTAAAAATGTATTTTATTGATTTTTTTACAGAGAGGAAGGGAGAGAAATAGAGAGCTAGAAACGTCGATGAAAGAGAAACATCGACCAGCTGCCTCTTGCACATCCCCATGTGCCCGCAACCAATGTACATGCCCTTGACCGCAATCGAACCCGGGACCTTTCAGTCCGCAGACCGACGCTCTACCACTGAGCCAAACTGGTTTCGGCAAGAAATAGAATTCTTACTTTTTTTTTTTTTAATAGAATTTTTTTTTTTTTTTTTGAGAGAGTGCTCTGTGCCAGATTCCATGCTCATGCTGAGAATAGAAAGAGGAAAGGACCAGGGCCCCTGATGTTAGTGCTGAGCTCGGGGGGCGAATTGCAGCACAGGGATGAGTTCTGGAAGCGTATGTGCCGAGAGTGTGAGGAACCGGGGTCAGCTCAGCTCCTCAGAACAGACAGGAAGGTGGCCAGTCTCAGTAAAACCTGCCCCCTTACAGGGATTGAAGGCCTGGATGCAGGTGGTTTTTCTAGCTCAGGTCTGAGCTGGTTCCCATACTTCCCAGTAGGTGGCACTAGAAACCACGTTTAAGTTCTGCGGCATCTGGAAGATTCCTGATGGGAAAGGGACTTCGTTCAAGAAGCTGTTTCACCTGAACTGTATTTCCTGCTTTTCCCCCTCTTTGCCCATTTTTCTCTCTCTTCACCCAGTACTCTACCCAGACCTCTCATTCCCTACCACCTTTTATCCTCCGATGGGTGTGGAGAGAACGGTTTTCTCTAGGGAAGGAGGTTCCCGATGGTGGAGCACAGCGTGGAGGCACAGACCCTTTTGTTTCGCGTCCCTCATTTTAGAAACAATGGCAGGAAATAAAGCAATGAGATAAGCTCATGGGATTTGAAGGAGCTTAGATCTAGAAAGCATATAAGAAATAAAAATGTAACGTACGTGCCTCTGGGCCTGTTGCGGCAGGTCCAGCTTTCTGTAAAAATCTAAGTCATTTCTGTCATAGTAAACAGTCAACACAGGAAAGCTTGGCAAAATGATTTTTGATCAAATTAATGGATACACACACATACACATATACATATTAATAATGCAAGCCTGCCTGTAGTTGGGTTGAAAAGTAACACCTCCACCCCAAAGAAATAGCTACATCCTAACCCCTGGAATCTGTAAATGTGACTTTTCTTAGGCAAAAAAAAAAAAAAAAGGGGGGGGGGATCTTTGCAGATGTAATTAAGTTAAGGAGCCCAAGATAAGATCATCCTGGATTAAGGCAGCCCTAAATCCAAAGACAGGACTTTGAGGATTCCTGGCCTCCATAATTGGGGGAGAAGCATTTTCTGTTGCTTTAAGCCACCTCATTTGCAGTAATATTTTTTCAGTAGCCCCAGGACAGGCATACACGGCCTTAAAGGGTTTTGTCTGTGCTGCTCAGTCCACAGAACCAGAGATGCGATGGCCTCTGGGCCACATGCCCCCTCCAGATATCTTTAGTTCAGTCAGAAATACTGTGCGGTGCTCAGTGGAAGGTTAATTTTGCCCCGCTGCCTAGGAAGAATTCTGAGTGCTCTACCCAGTTCTTTCATGTCCTCTGGGGATGAAAGAACTGTCCTGATTGTGGGAGCCCTTAGGGGATGGGTAACTTCCCCTAATCCTTACAGTCCTCCCTGGAGTACGGGAGGGGAACTAGGCCTGCAAACCCAGGTGCCTTGATCTCTCTGGACTCCTACCTGTGTGTGTTCAGCTCCTTGTTGACCAGGAAGCTCCCTTAGGGCGGTGAGCTGGTCAGTCACAGGCTCTCCCCATCGGCCTCATCTCTCAGGGCTCTTTGTCCTTTATTGCCCGCCATCCAATGTCTTGGAAACCATAGTTTCCTCTACTTAGTCTTGGATTTCAATTGTTCCAAGTGAGGAGAGAAAATCTGGTCCCTGTTACTCCATTTTGTTGGAAATGGAAACCAGGGCACATATTTTAATCTTAATAACCTCATTTTCCCATGAGTGCTTTTTAGTCCATTTTTTTTTTCACATGAGAAAACTTGGGTTTAGTTCTAAGTTAATTAAAGATAAACCCAGGGTTTAATTCCGGATATGTTTCCTTCCCAAGCTTGAGTTCCCTGGGCTAGGCTCAGGGTGTCGGAAGGCGCTCAGGGCTGGGTTACAGGCAGCTTCAGTGACATGTGTGAGCTTGGTTAAGTCATGCGATTGTTTGTTCTCTGCCAGGGAACTCAAGA